GCTGTCTTATAATGCCAAAAATAATAATGTTGGAAATAGTCCATATTACAGTGTTTCTGTTGAAACGGATGAGTGTGATGGACAGATGAAACAGGGAATGCTTTTCAAGTCTGATGAAATAACTTTTAATAGAGAAAAATGTAGTGATCAGGAAGATAGGAAAAACTTGCAAGATAATTCTCCCGTATCAAAAAGAAATGAATGTTTATTGGATGAAATACAAAAAACATCAAATGATTTTGAGAACTGTAAGGATGTTCCAGAAGAGGTGACCTCAATTTCTGTTGCTGCTTCAGATTGTACAAGTCAGGATAGTCTTTTGGAAGATGGCCCATCTCCTATACAAACTGTAGAACAAGCCTTAGAGACACCTGATTCTTTGGATTCTTTAGATGTAAATGAAGTTTTAGAATCTTTACAGGCTCAAAGTCCTCAGAAACTTTTGCCACCAGATAAACCTGCAGACAGTGGCTATGAAACAGAAAACCTGGAATCTCCAGAATGGACTTCCCATGTCCCTGTTGAGGACGCTTCCAGTGTGGATACTGCTCTGTGTGTTGTGAGTGAGAACAGCGTCAGTGCTTTGCCTTCTAATCCAGTCATCATTGTGTCAGAAGCAGCAGCTTGTTTGGATGCAGTGAACAGCAATTTTGAAATAACCCCAGTGGTTTTTCTGAGTGGAAATCAAAACTCTTATAGAGATTCAGCTTATTTCTCTGATAATGATTCTGAACCAGATAAAAAGACTGAAGAGTCTGTTAATCTGTCCAGAGACACTGCATGTGTTGTTTCCTCCAACAGAGGAGAGAATCACACTGAAGAGGTTTGTGGTTTTGAAGAGAGACAGCAAATGTGTGATGTGAGGAGTTACCAGGAGGATGATAATCAAAACTCCAAACTGGAACTAAACCACAATTTAGAGATCCAAGAGATGGATGAAAGGATGCAGGGGTGTCCTGATGAGTGGGCTGAGGCAACTCTGACTTCCCTGGAAATAGTGATGGAAGGTAACCTGAGTGATGAAATAAATCTATCTGAGACTTCCCATAAAAGTGTCTCTTGCGTTGGCACTAACACTTCAGAACTCCTTTCACACAGAGACGTAAAGCCTATGCACAACATGGCTTTAGATCTGAGTAACAGTGAGAAATCCTTCTATCACATGGAAGGACAAAAACTGAAAGAGCCAGATATTGAAGGAAAATACCTCGGCAAACTCAGCGTGTCTGGAATGCTTGATTTAGAAGATGGCGATGATGCAGATGAGGAAGATGAAAACAGTGATTCTGAGGATGACATGAGGACTTTTCATATGCATAGTCTGAGTTCTGACAGTGAAGATGAAACTGTTCATCAAGTACCTGAGATAGTTACTGAGAAAGATGATGGAAAAAATTTGAGAAGCTTGTTGAAACTTCCAAAACCTCTTAATGAAAGACAGCCTGAACTTCAGAAGGATGAGAAAAAGGCTGTAACATTCTTTGATGATGTGACAGTCTATTTGTTTGATCAGGTAACCTTCTTTTTAATTGCTAAGTAAAGTTTTTATTGGCTTGGTGTTTTTTTTTGGTTTTCTTTAAACAAGGAGTAATTGAATAAATTGCTTAATTTTAGGGAAAACCTTGTTACAAAAGTATCTTTGTTTTGGCAGGGTTACAGCCTGTTCATGATGTGGGTTATTTTTTCTTTCTATATTAAGGCTATATAAGAATATATATATGTAAAATAATAATAATATATATATATATAAAGGAAAAAGAACTTTGTGACTTGGGTAGGTGCAGATTTGTGCTGCTGGTAGAATAGCAGCACTAATCTGAAGTGAAGGACAGTTTTACTTTGGTTGCCAAATCCTGAATCTCCATTGCTGTTGGACCCTTGACTGCATGTGCTGAATGAAACATGGTTTTAATGATGTTTTTCTGCGGTTTATAAGACATATTTAATTTGAATATGCAAGACAGCATTGCTATGGACAAAATTTAATAATTTTATTTTGACAGAATGTTCTTGTAACTTTATAGAAGCAGCTTATCTGTTTAATGAGTTTGAAATCTTTAAGATGCTTTATAAAAAGAAGGGAGAAAGCAAAAAAAGACAATAGTTAAATGAAAAAAACCCGAAACTCAAACTGAAACCTAACTTAGTTAGCACTAAGGTAAATTTATCTAAGATCATAATCAAAGATGAGAACAGTATTTAAATGGTAACGCTAATTTTTATTAATCCTGTGGGATTCATGTTCAGTGACACAGTGATCTGCTTATAAAATTCAAGGTTACTTTTGTTTCCCTATCAGCTTTATCAATTTTTAACTTCTGTAACTGGATACAGAGGGGATTGTATTTTAGCATTGTCAACTAAACTAGTCCAGTGAGTTTAAAAGAACAGTCACTTTGTCAAACTTTGGAAATATTGCTTATGATGACGCACATAAATATTAGAGTTAACTGTGTTTTGGAATAGAAAACATAGGTGATTTATTTGTGTTTAGGCAGCCTGTAGAATAGTAATCCTTTTGTCAGAGGGGAAGGAAAAAATCAGCTGTGTTTAAACTGCTCTTAGTTGTTGAACTCTACTTTTTATTACAATATCTGATAATATGTTGGCTGCTTCTAATACCGGCTGTACAAAGTCTGTCTCCTTATCCTGAACATGATTAGGAGATTAAAAAAAATAAAATAAGGCTTTATTAAAGAGGGGAAAAAAAACCCTTCCCATGTTAAGCTGATATGGGAATGTTTTCAATTGGAAGGTATTTTAGCTTTGTTCCTAGAAATATGAAACCACTTCATATTGTAAATAATATTTAAATAGTCATTTCCTGCGTGCATTTGAGCATGATTTGATGCAGCTTTAGAAGTGCGTGCATGTGCTGATCTGTAACTCAAAGTCTTGTGGTGTTGTTGTAACAATTTACAGACCTTTTAATTCCACATTTGACTTGATGGCAGGATGGGGGAGTGTACTTGTGGGTGCTGGCATCTGGCTGGCATTGTGTGTAAAAACTTAAATAAGTGACTTTGTTTGCCTTAGGAAACACCAACGAAGGAGCTAGGAAGCCATGGGATAGATGTGAACGGGGAAGGTGCTGGCAGCTCTCCTGTTCCATCTTCCAGTCCTGGTTACTTAAACAGATTTGCAAATTCAGAAAGCTCAACAGATGAAGAAGGTACATGGAATATATTTATGCACAGCAGGGGCTGAGACTGTTTTATGCAGAGTCTTTTATGAGAAGTCATTAAACTGTATGTGATCTGTAAATTCACTGGACCACGTTGGCTTCAGTTTTGCTTCCTAAGCACACATTGCAGCTGGGCTCAGATTCCCTTGTTCCTGAGGAGCAAAGCTGGGATGTGGTACTGGTTGTTTATATATTGATGTGTCCAGGGTTGCCTGAGAGGCAGCCAAACTGGGTGACAAATCTGTGACTCCCTGGGCTAGAAACCCTGCCCAGGGCTACAGGGTTTGTCTGGGTTAATGCAATTTTCCAGTCTGCTTGTATGATTCTGGGTGACCTTACATGACATTACTGTAATGCTGCTTTTTTTTCTTCTTTCTCCTTTTTTATTTTCCTCCCCAAGGTGGGGGTTTTGAGTGGGATGATGACTTCTCTTCTCCAGAGCCATCCTTTATATCCAAGGCAGCTAATAGTCTCATTGGTTCCAAACCATCCCTTCAGCCATCAAAGTACTTCTCTCCACCTCCACCTTCCCGGACTCTTGATCAGAACTGGTCACATTCATCCCCTTATTCCAGATTCTCCATCTCTCCTGCAAACATGGCAAGCTTTTCTCTTACACATCTTACAGATTCAGATATAGAGCAAGGAGGTAAGTGTATAATAATAAATAATTAATAATAAAGTAATAATAATTATTTTAAAGATACAAATTAAAACGTTATGTAAAGATAAAAGTAACAGATACAAGTCTTGTTCTATTTAAGTACCAAATGTAGAAGTACATTTTTAACACCATAGAAGTTTGTCTGGTCTTGTGTTTCAGTTAAGACATAGTTTTCCATGGAGATTATTTGTATCCAAGTTGGTGCAGGGTTGTGGTTGAATGACCTATGGAACGGTTACAGGACAGACTCTCAGTTTTTGTGTTAAAAACCCTAATGCTGTGTTTGTGTAACTGAAACTTCTGCAATCCTGAAGCAGTGCTGTTGCACCTGCGACACTATGGCATTTATTCTGGTTATTGCAGTGTCTTAAGTCAAAATTGCACAGGATGAGGATGCCAGGAACATAATGTTTCTGCTATTATTGTGTAAGCTTATTTTACAGTTTAGTTTCTTTTCATATTGCTTTTTAGACATTGCATTATTGACATTCTCTCAAGAATTGCAGCATGTTTTCTAGAACTGTGAATAGGATAGCTTTTGTTAGGAGAGCCAAACAATCCCTTCAGAGCAATATTGAGTACTAGTGATGTTTATTAACGAGCCTTCTTGTCAGTAACCAAAAGCTTTTTTAACCTTTGATACATTTTTGAGGGTTAAGAGAAGCAAAAATAAGCAAACTCGAATCAGTTTGGCATATTATTAATCTTGATAACACACTGCATTATTAAAAATAAATATTACTGATTGCAGAGCCTTGCAAATGGTCAATGTCTATAAATATGTAATCAGTGTTATATAGAGTTGTATTGTTCTTGTATTGTGCTTACTGATTAGATAATATTTGCTGCTTAGTAACTTAGAGATAAGAGAGAATATTTTGGAGATCCTATGTTGCCTTATGTGTCCTAAGAAGTGACATTGAACTGTGTGATTGAAGCAGATGTCTATGAATAAATGAACCAAATGTTTACAGTAGCTGAAAGCATAGGGAAAAATTAACTAAAACTTGGAAGGGCAAAACAGCAGAATGCCAAGTTCTAGCAAGAGTCTTGCAAAGAAGTGAGGGTTGTGCAGCAGAATCTTATTGTATCTTATTACCTTTCCTCTACTAATAGGAAGCAGTGAAGATGGAGAAAAAGATTAAATCAATTTAAACTTTCTCGGACTTCATACATAAAACACATAGACTTTGTGTTTGAACCTTCTTTATCTAAACTCTGGATCCTCCTGGAGTAACACAGGTAATCAAGAAGTACTGAGAAACGGAAGTAAACACTGAAAGCAATGATAAATCAGGACATTAATTTGAATGTGTATTTAACTTTGTAATGTATTTTTAAATCAGTGCAATTTTGCTTTTCATTGAAAGACGATTCTGCCGCTGTTTTCAAGTACTTGAAGTATTTTTCAGATAACTTAAACAAGTAAAGCAATTACACTACAGTCTGGTTTATGTATGAGATTGTATAATATTCTTTTTATATTTTTCCATGTAGTTCATTATCTATTTGAACATACACCTGTTGTAGAATTGTGTATAACTGTCCTGTGCAACAGGTGGCTGTGTTGATGGAACTGTATGAATGATAGTTGATCAGTAGTGAGCCATATTTATTCAAAAAGATATCACTACATATTACTTTGCTTATTACAATTGCACTATGGATTATTCTTCCTTTATTTCCTGATGATGTACAGAATCAAAATCTTAAATCTTTCAAGGAAAATGAGACAAGTTGAATTGGCCCAGTTACCCAGTTTAATTTGTCCTTTTTGTAGCCTTTGCTATGCACGGTACTTGTAAAACATACATAACTTCTGAGTATTATGTTAGACTTGCTGAAATCTTATATTCAGTACCATTTCTAAAATGATAATGGTTATAGAATGGTTGTTAGTATTCATGTTTTATAGGAAACTGGAAAAGAATATATGATATACTCTGGAATTTTTAGATGAAAGAGATAATGTCTCTTAATTCCTAGATATGATCCTACTGACTGCTTAAACTGTATAGCATCTGACTATATCACAATTAAGGGCCTTCCAGTTTTTGCTACAATTTCTGCCTTGGAGAAAGAAGAGGAAAAATTGGCTGTACAAAACTCTGGAATTTATGAATCTTATAAAAAGACTAATTTCAATAGACTGGATTTGGGTACACTTGGCCCTTTGGTTGTACATTCTGTGAATTTTGAAGCTCACTCATCTGCCGACTGCAGATCGGGGCTCCATTTAGAGGCGTGTGGTAAACCTACCTCTCGGTTATGTTATGACAATTAAGATTTTGATTAATGGTTAATGCCCAGTTTTGCAGCCGTTATAGGGCCAGATCCATTTTAAGATGTATGCAGAGCTCCATGGCACATCGAGAAATGCATCCTGAGCAAAGGCTGCAGTACAATAGGTTTGCTCAGAAGCCTGTAGGGAAGGAAAGACAGTGTGGGGGCTTAACCTTCCTGTTCTACCATGCATTCAGCTGATTTAATCCTCTAAACTGCTCGGAGAAAGATACTCTTAATTATTACTCCAAAGTGAGTTAAGTTGAGAAACAAATCTTTGACTTCTTGGAATGCCTTACGCAGTTCAGACCTGTAGGAAACACTGATAGGAATTGTTTACCTGGCTTTGTGTTTGTTTACGTGTACTAAAATACAAATGCACTGAAATGTGAAGTACTTTGTATTTTAGTGGCTGTTTTGGCAGGGCTTGAGATAATGGTGGTCCAAGTGCTCTGTGTCCAGATCCAGTCACCAGAGAATTTTCATCATATAAAGATGGGAGGACTAGATATTTTCAGATGTGTGGTTTCTTTTTTTTTTTTTATACCTCTGTGTTAATTTTGATTTCTAAGTATGTTTTAAAAATGACAGGAATATGTTTATTGCTTTTTTTCCCAGCATTATTTAGCCCTTAAACCAGAATGGCTTCCATACTGATTAAAAGGGAATGATTTAGTTATCATGTTGTTTGAAGTTGCCAATGAATTGAGATACCTTTTTCTGATGAGGCACTCTGGTTCAGAGTTAGTGAGAACTGTTCTGCTCTTCAGTATGAAGTGAGGAACTGAATTTTCCTATGGACCTTTCCCAAAACATTATTTAGAAGGCAAAGTCAAGTAGTTTTTTAATACAGGCTTACAGTATATACTGTAGAGGGTTTAAGGAAGCTTTGTGCTACTGAAAATACTTTTAAATGTTGGTAATAGACCTTGTGCACAAACTATTGCTTAGAAATTCCATAATTCCAACATTAAACTCCTTGATACAGCTAGATTTAGGGTATCTCATCTGTCTTTAATTCTCACCGTAGTAAGAATGAAACTCCATAATGGTCTGCAAAGAACATGTGGGCTTGTCTGCCTTGTGTGGTGAAAAACCTGTCAGACCTGGAGTTCAGCCTTAATTTTGAATAAATTGATTTAAAAAATAGTCTTGGATTAAATAAAATTATGCTTCAGAATGTTGTAATTTGGTTGTGCATTTTGTTTCTTGTAATTCTGGAAAATCAGATGTTTATCTTGCACATCAGGAATTTCCTTTGCTTGATGGAAATCTAAGATTTTTATTCTTTACCTGGGTTTAAAGAAAATCTTACACAGGAAGTGAAAGTTTACTCCTTTGTCCAAATGGACTCATTGCTAATGAATTGCCAAAGGAGCATTTTTTCCAAAACTAGATATGTATGATATTAAGCAAGGTAATGTCCTTTTTAGCTGTACAATGAAGAGAAATAAATATTTGAAGTTACCTCAGATCACTTAAACATAAATTTTAATTTCAGTAATCCAGTGGGCTGGATTGCAATAATATAAACTGTCTTTTTGGGGTAAAAAAATGATACTTAAAGATCTGATCAACTACTAGCAATACTTACATATTTGCCTGGCAGTCAAGTGGCACAATGAAGATGAATCAGTAATTCCAATGTTACACTATAATGAGGGGATTTTTTCCAAATCATTCATTACACTCTATGTAATTTCTTGCACTAGCTACTTAAGCCTGGTCTCCATTTTAGAAGTACATGTATCTATTTTCAATGGTTTATTATGAGGACTGGTTACAGCTTAATTCCTTCTCTAGTAGAATACCTGGATTGTTTGCATAATGTCTCAATTTGGCTACTAAAGGTATTTAAAAGATCTGATTTTTCCCACCTAAAGAAGCTTTTTTGAACATTAGGATCTGTAGTAAGAAGCCAAGAGAGCAACAAGAGTGTCCAGTTTCAGTGGAAACACCTGTACTCTCCCAAATCCCCCAGCTGCAGATACACTGTGTATAACTGCATTTATGGAAATTGCCATTTTCATGGAAATGAGCAGATTTAACTGTTTTTTCATATCCTTGTTGATGCACTAATGAAAGCCATTTAAGCCTCATTCTTTTTATCAGTATTTTTAGCAGATTTTTATGTAATACTCAATCTTCATGAGGAGGCTGGTTGGTAGAAAGACTTTTTTTTATGATTAAGCACTATCCTAAAATGTCAGCATTGTCAGGTGTCAGTGACTTGGCTATTTGTGTTGGAGCTGGTGAAAGGTGGAATCCAAGTACATTAGCCTTATAAGAAATAGCCTTAAATAAGAATGGAGTTACTTCAAAAAATTACTTCAGCTTTAAGTCATACATGTTAATGGTTTTGGTACAAAATGGGAAGAAATCTAGAGGAGAGTCAAACGTCATATAAACTTATTGAAAATAAGTATTTGTAATACCAGCAGCCTGTTTTTCAGAAACTTGAATATGACTTACAGTTAGTTTTGTTTATGAAATTGTTTGAACTTGCACAGATGTAGGTGTAACTTAAATAATAAATGGTACTGATGTGTGTGTATATATAATGTTTAATTCTATTTGTAAATGAGAAACTATGTAACAAAATCATAGGTATGAGGTTTTCCTATTGTAATTTAATACAGGTATGAGGTTTATGGCAATATATCATAGTTAATGAAATTTCAGGTCAAAATGTCTTTAAATTGTGTACATTTTTAAATTGTAATTTCTACTGTATATTGATTATCATGCATAGTGTGATTCAAGAAACTGCTTGTAATTTAAAAATATTTAATATTAAAAATAAAATACAGTTATATATTTATAATCTCTTTGTCTGTTTGTTCATTTTTAAACAGATGCCAGCAGTGTAGTTCTACTGTAAGATATATTTATTAGTCTCCTGAGGTTGAGAAAGTTCCAAAAGCTCAGAGCCACAGTCCCAGCAGATGAGTCCACGCTAAATAGTGTAGTCATCTTTAAATTCTTCCAGTATCATCACCCTTGTGAAAAATTCAGGTAAAGTGTGTACACAGTCAGTAGCAAAGTGATAATTAAAACAGAAACAGCGTAATTCTGAATACTGAATTTTGCTTTCAATCATAGAATTAAAGATATGTAGGAAGAATGGGGATTTTGAAATTTATAAATTTAGAAAATGGGTTAATGGTGTTTTTTCAGTGTTCATTGAATTTCTTCCTAGAAGGCTTGCTTGGGTTTCTTTCAATCTAAGTGTGTGTGCTGAATGGACCAAAAATCACCAGGTAAATAAATGTAGTACTGGTGTGTACTGGGAGCTCGTTTGCTGCGATGCTGAGGCTGTTCCAGGCTGGGCACTCGGTGAGGCAGGAGGAGAGTGCTGCTTTTGAGGCTGCGGATGGCCCAGGACAGCCCTGGCAGTATTGATGGAGGCTCTTGTGGAAGCCCCCACTTCACATCGCAGCTGTTGAGTGCTGGCACCTGGGAATGAGAAACTGGTATCAAGATGACTTAACTACATTAGGTAAAATATAACTACTGGGCTGAAATTTGACCAAGGGTGGTGGTCATTAATGAGAACAGATGCAAAAGATCCCATGGCACTAAACTGCTCACCTTATATAAACTTATCATCAAAGAATTTGAGAACTTGCAATCTCTATGAGCAGCAAGTTCTCAAAGAGATGGCAGTTCTGTGTGTGTGGGCCTGTGACAACTTGCAGAACAGAGCTGAGACAGACTTTGTCCTCCTCCAGCCGGGGACACTCCACCTGCTGAAGAGGCACTGGGCCTACCCCTCCTGTGGGGACAGAGCTTGGCTCGGTGTCAGTGACACCCGCGCTGCTGCAGTGCCGCCGGCTGCTGCCTCCCGGTGCCCGGTGGCCCGTGTGTCACCTGTGGCCACCCCGGGCACGGGCGGGAGCCTCGAGCGGGGCGCTGCGGCCGTGCCCGGCCCCTCG